CGATCCCCCCGCCGCCCCGTCGCAGCCCAGCCTCCCGAAGTCGCCCCCTGTCGGCGCGTCGGTCGCTTGCGCCTCGGCGGGCGCCACTTACCCCGGGCAGGGTCTTCTGCTCGTGCAGCGCGCTCTGGGCCTTCAGCGCTGACTCACGCTCGCAGTAGGTGAGGAAAGCGCAGCCTAGGGAGGGAAGCAAGCGGCCAGAGGGTCAGTGGGGCGCCCGGCCGCCGGCGCGCTCTCCCGCGCCCTCAGTCTCCAGCCCCTCCCCGCGCCCGGTCCTCCCCACCTCTCTTTCTCTCCTCTGCACTCTGCTCCAGCCTTCCTGCCTTTCCGTTTTCCTGTCTGTCTGCTTCACGTCCCTCGCGTTGCTGTTCTGTTTTGCTCCCTCGGCAAAATCTCCCCAGCCTGCATATCCCCCCTCCACGCCCCCTCTCCCGGAGGGTCTCTCCTGTCCCCATTCCCTGGTACCTCAGGTGCCTCTGCCCTCTCCCTTCCAGCCTCCCTCCCTCCTTCCCTTCATCCCTTCCTCTGGGCGCTGTTCTGTCTGTCTCAGCTCCAGTCCCAATCTCCCAAGGGCAGGTTTCACCCCTCACCCCCAGCACCTCTAGCCACACTTGACCATGAACTCTTGTTCTGGCCTCCCTTAGGGGTGCTGCTGGCTGCTTCAAAGAGGATGATGGAGGGACCCTCTTGGCTTCCCAAATAAAGGCTCCATCTATAATGAGGACCCCAGGCCAGGCTGTCCTAATAAAATGAATGGAGCTACCCATGCGTTCCTGCCCTAGCCCATTGCCACATTTGCAGGGATATTTTCACACCCCTCCCAGTCAGAGGGCGTCTTGGGCTTATCCAGTCCATTAGTGGGCAAGGCGGGACCTGAGACTGACCCTTGCTCTGCCTCTAATTCCCTGGGTGACCCCGGAATCACATCTCCTGTCCTGCCTCAGTCTCCTCCTGTGTGAACCGAGAGGTTTGACCCCTGGATCTCCAAGGTTCAGTCTAGTTTTCCCCTTGAGTGATTCTGACAGGGCCTCACCAGGAAATCTGGATTTTTTAAGAGCACTGTGCCTGACACAAGGGGTGACTTTTAAATGCTGGCTTTTTAGGCACAGTGACAAGGCAAAGAATGCTTGCTGATGGGAGAGTCTTTCTAAAAGTTCCCTCAAACTGCCCAGTGTCAGGGGCTTCTTCCTTCGCTTGCCGACCTGGCTGAGTGTGACTTGGGAGGCTTGGAAGGCCCAGTACCACAGGGAAAGTGAAAAAACCAACTTGGCCAACAACGGGCTTAACTCTTGTGGTTTACAGTGGCCTCAAACTTTCCAGTGCAACCCATGGCCCCAGAGAGGGCAGCCTGCAGGCTGTCCACTTCCCTTGTTTCACTGTTTTATTTCCCTCCCTTATTTCACTCTCTCTCATTACCTCATCTGACCTCCCAACCACCTTTACTC